TATTTATTCTAAACCCTTTCGGTTAACAGGACGTAACGTTAAATAAAACCTTTGTAACACAACGTGTTCATACTAGGACCAAATTAACATTTTGCGAAACAAAACTGTCTGCTCAGCCGATTAAATGGTTTTGCGAGATGTCTGAAGCCTCTTTACCTCAGACAGTGTGAATTATTAAGCAGTACAACTCCCAATACACACCTGTGGGTTTGAGGGAGCACGCCTATTTGCTATAATATGTAGGTACTAGGTACGTATGTATGAAAAAGGTTTTGTGTTGCAAATAACATACCAATCGCCTACACAAACCTTTTAATTTCGAATATCCGTCTTAGAATTTGATATTCGGATACTCATATTCGATATGGAATTATTTAGAACCGTCTTTGACAATTTCCTTCATACTTGTACATGAATATTATATAAGTCGTGTACACAAATATAGGTAACATGTCGTTCCTACCTACCTTATGCTATAAAAAGGTTTTTGAAATGAATAAGTTAATGTATTTCGTGAGATACCTACCTATATCGGTTTCAAATATGCTTCACAAAATGAGTTCGTGTGTTGCTAACGAGAATCGATGATCTGTTGCTAAAGTACAAAAAGATCAAAGCATCCAATTAGTACCAGAATCCAATAAAAATCCGGTTACAGACAAGTTTCTTATAACGCATTTGTCTTTTTGACTTTGATGAAATAAATATTTTATATAGACTCCTTGTATTGCAGGTATATTATCGGAAAGAACTTTAATCCACAAAGATAATAATACGCCATTGTGAAAATGTTTACAAAAAAGATCGAAAACTATTGTTGCGAGTTTCCTATCACAGCGTAAAACTTATATTGGAACACTATTGTGTTGTATGCCTCGCGGACGTACTGTTGTCATATGAATTTATATACTCTCGTGTAATCGCTCAGAAGATAAATAAAAAGTATATTTCGTGGAAAATATTATAACATTAAAATATTTACTTTAAGTGTACCTCCGAGCTCATAGTGAGATATTCTCTTATGTGATATTTTAACATTATTTATGTCTGACCCTAATATTTAAACAGGTTAAAATTATTCAACAGATTGTTTTTCTCTGTGGATGATATTCAAATTAGTATATCTTTTTTGAAATATGTTAATTGTTTAAGGTCACATACCTTTGAGCCTATTTCATATTAGGCTATCTGAATCCCGGTTTAATTATGCGAGCTATATGATTCGCTCCATTTGTGTCATTGTTCGTACCGCAATAGCTTTCAGTGCACCGTAAATGTCAGGCTACGTCGATACACGTAGTACATAAAGTTTAATGGAACCAAACGCACCACAATGAGCAGATGTTTCCAACCGAAACAAATACCGCTCGCCCTAAATTACATTTGTTCATGTTCACACTCTTCCCTTTGTGAATTTTTCCAAACAAAATCCTTCGTTTCGTATAAAATTAACTCGAGTGATTTACATAATGCTGGGTCTTCATTTATCGCTGCCGTACAGGGCCGTTACTTTGACCCTAATATTGAGTTTGCTTAGATTAATGGCTATTCAGAGACAGTTTTGAATAGATAAGCCATAAATCAATGTAGTAATCAACGTCGCTGAATGTAATATATGAATGTTCTAGTAATAGCAGAAGCTAATGAACCCAAATTGATATTATCGAAATTATCTTTGATGTTCTGTGAGTGGTTAGCGGGGCGAAATGTCCGTTTGTGTGAAGCCGCAGCCATGCGCTCATTGGCGATGTGTAATTGGCAATTTAGTCAGTATATAAAGTTGTGTTCATATAAATCCATTGAAATGAACGGGCTTCACTGAATGTTTTCAGTCACGGGTTGTACGCGTGAGCACAGTACTCAAGGATCATAACGTCTGCGTAAATGGAATAACTCCATTAGCACCTTCCTAATTATAATAATAATTCAGGATCTAAACAATGAGATCGCAACGCGAATAAGGGTCTGCTATTGTGACTTATTTGAATTATAAAATACATGATTTAAACTAATAGCAATTACGAGACTTTCCTTCCTGGTATATTTTGTCTTATAAAAGTATCAAGTTATGCTTAGATATAGCATATCAAAGGTACATTTCAGAAGGTTCATGTATTTAATTTTAACTTCCCTTGCTAATTCGCCCACACGTGACATTCTTTTCCAGGAAGACAAGGGAATAAAACAGAAATCCGATATGAGATAGGGCTGAAACATGTTATATTTATTATCTTCAACGTTTATTCATAAAAGTACGGAAAAACAGGCACCGCGCCACTATTTTTAGATTTACTCTTTTGTTTTTCGTTGTCACGAGACACTTCGCTTTTGGGATTTTGTAAAAAACATCAAAGTGAGATTTCGCTCAACATTCTAGCTTGTTCAGGTCTACTCTCAAAGTTTGACGACTAATTCTCCTGAGCCTCGCTTAAAATAGAACCTTTACTGAAACGTAAAGAGGTGTAATTAATGTTGAGTCGTGTTGTTACGAAACAGTTCTCTCCCTTGTAGATATAATATTTTACTCAAAGATTTAATACATACTTCAATTTGTAGGCATATAAAACGTACGGACATTATAATTGTGAATAAAAATTCAGCCACAATGAAAAATTACGTACGTAATGAAATTACTTTGAGACCCAAAGGTCGTGTAAAATATTGAGAAGTGCTCACAAGCGTACAAATTTTAATATCACCGTAATGAGTGACGCGGGAGACCGCCCACGTGTCGCGGTCTAATATTACTAATTTCCACTTCATGTTATATATTCATGACTATGGGGAACCTCTCATTATAAACCGTTCCTCACGAACCGTAAAATAAAATTGCAATCTTCCACGTAATGAAACTTTAAGGTCCTATTAGACTTAATCGTAGAGTCTGCGGCGAAAGATATTTGTTCAGTAGAATATTATATGTGATTCAACGTCGGGTGCATTTGACTTCATTTTACTTGAAGCACCCCCTTATCTCAGCAAGTGGTTGTGCTCTAACTTAGTTATCTTAGTCGTCGACTACCTCACATAAATAGTTTTTGGTCTTTGCATACGTGTTACTGAACTTGACGTTCATGTTTTTGAACAAAATCTTTGATCCTTGATAAGCTTGTGTACGTTACATGTTCCAAATAATGCGTACTGGATCAACCCGTCCGATATTTTGCATACAAATGAGTGCCTTTGATAGGATTAAATAGATTTACTAGTACTTCGTCCCTGATACATTTCAATATACTTAGATACTGTTAGAAAGAAAGTTTGTTATTAGTTAGAAATAGTAGGCGTTTTCAATTTCACGTAATGAGCTTAATATTTCAATTACATTAGCGTGTAGCGCTACGGCGTAGATCCCATCTACAAAGCGCTACGGTGCGCTACGAGAATAAAGCTAAGCAAACACTGTAAACGCTTCTTTATGGTCCATTGTTATCTGCTGCGAACATTTCGCTCACTATAAATAAACATTTCACTAGCTAATATTGTTATTTTGGTTCTACGCTTTTATTATTTTCGCTTTGTGAATTAGTAATTAACAGACCAGGTACATGGACCGAATTTTTAATTCGGACGTTCCGTAGGTATTATTTATTCAAACAGTGAACGTTTTATTATTCAAATACAACGGACGTGCAAAATATTACGTACTAAAACTTTGATAATGTGATGATAAATAAAATTATATTTCCCGTTGAATTGTAAATCAAAATTATTCGATGTTCATAAAGACCGGCGCACCATTCAATAATTGAAATGAAACCTATTTACGTATTGCTATTTTAAGCTATCGCAATCGATTTTCCGCTCGACAACAGGTTGTTTGATACTTAAAAATGTATAGTTAGTATTGAACTGAGCTGATGAATAATTATAACACGGCATGAAAGTTTATAGACCCTTAACCCGCAACCGTGTTCGTTGCCCTTTCGAACAACACGTAACAATGGGTTATTAACTACCTACTTACTTGTGTAAAGACCCAAGTTATGTCGGAGATGAAAGTAATATATTATTCTATTTGCTCTCTCTTAGTGGTGGCATAAATCACTAGTACGTAGGTATGTCATAATAAAGCCTACTGGACCCTACAAGCCGAATTAAACTTATCTTAACTTTAATTAAATTAAGTTAAAATAGCGTAAGTTCGTTCATTAAAATAAATTGTGTAAGATAAATCCGTCGAGATTTTTCCCCAGCCGACATCGTATTACAAAGGCAACGTTAATAGATTATCAATTCTCCATTAATATGGTGAGCGTGGCCGGTCGCCGGACTCGGTCATAGTGCACATTAAGCTGTACGCACTACCGTAATAGGGTTATTGTTGAACAAGTCGACGATTACATAATGTTACTTACAGTTCTCGCGACCGTATCGATCCGTTAATGTGGCACCGTGCCAATAACAAAGTCGGCTACCCTACTCTCCGCTAGGCAGCCTGCTCTAGAACAGAGACTTGCGCCCGATGATAAAAGTTTCGGTGTTAAAACTGTTTTGTAACTGTGAGTGCTTTTTACTGCCCGTGTCTGGTACACGTACAGAATAATTATTTCGTAATGGCCAGTTTGTCTCCCAAATGTTCGGACTTTAAACTTATATTTTAACTGCTACGTCCATCTGTACTCTAGTGTCTAATGGTTTAATTGTTAAATGACATAGTCTAAATACTTGTAATAACCGTCTAGTTATTTTTAAAACACTTAAGCACGAGTACCTACTGGGTTATTATTTAGTTGAACCCCAATCGATTGCTTTCAAAGGTTAAAGTTCTAAATAATACGGCTCTATATTTCACTAGAATGCCAATAATTGTACCCTTACTACGTACTGATATTTAAACGAGCTACTACTGGTTACATGAAAATCAACATGAAATTTACTTGCCCTGAATGTTATCATACCAAATCAATGTTGTGGCTTTTAAATAATTGACGTAAATGTTTAATTATTATTGTTAAATTTGAATTCTACGTAATTAATGTTCTTTTCAATCTTTTCAGATAATTTAAAGCGAAGATAGGCGCAACACCACAGCCATGGCTTTCGCCGGTCTAAAAAAACAAATCAACAAAGCCAATCAGGTGAGGAGAGTTATTATTAAACGTTCATTTACAAAAGAACAGTCTCAAGGAAAATATCTGGCGAGATTAAAAACTTTTTTAAAGAAATCCTTCGGGATTATACCATTGTGGACGGAGGATATCGTAAGAAAAATAGACTTTTGTCAGGTTTCACAGATTATAAAGGTAATTCAATGCGTATAAGTGCTCGTGGATATTTCAACTTATAAATAATTTTGTTTCTGTTTTTCTTTAAAGTTTTAACATTGTTAGTCTTTTGTTTTATACACAAACCTTTTATGTTGTTGAAGTTACGTATTTGGTATTATAAGTCATATTGTATTTCATACTACCTCTATATGTACATATTGATAACTTGGCTTGGATAATTTAAAGAGCCAACTATAAACTTAAAGCCTCCAAAAATGTGTTCAACCCTGTAAACAATGTTGTTGGAAAACATAGGAAATCACCAGGCCAGTGAGCACACTCGCGTGAGTTTTAAATCAAAACTTTTCTACTAGCCTTTGTATAACAATACCAATACGCCAATGCAGAGAACATTTATCACGCAACCAGGGTTCGCACTTGACCGGCTTTTTAAAATTCAATTTGGACTCGAGTCAGCATTTCACCTCGCGACATATTTGTAGCTTTGATTCTGCTGAAATATTTTTCAATTAACCAGTTGGATGCGCACCAAGTTTATTAAACTTTATAACCATACCACCCCCTTTGTTTTTACTTAGCTTTCAACAATATTTAGGTAATACAGGGCCCTAAACGTTACTTAGTTTCCTCTCCTCATCGTAATGTTTCCTGTTAATGAATGAAATGTTAAACAGTTTGCGAACATTACTCTGAGAGGCAGGTCTGTTATTTATTTAGTCGCTTGTAGCCTGATGAAAAATAAACTGAGGGCACCTCGACCTCTGGGGATATCGTCTGGGCTTAAAGCACGTACCGCTGAGTTATGAATTCATGAAAAAATACTAGATAGTATTTGGTCTAGCTTACTAACTTTAATTTCTTGCTTTATTGTCCGTAGGGAAAGCCCTTTTTCAGTACTTATTTTTCACTAGTTAAGTTCATAATGCCAGTATAATAAGAACCTACTGCTAAACATAAACGGTAAGACTTTTGAAATGTCATCATCTCCAAATCCGTGTGCTCGTCCATCGCACTCACGAACACTTGACGAAAGAAGTAGCACTTTTTACTTCAGTAAAATAATTACGAAGACGATTTTTTTATCTATGGATCACCTTTTTCACTTTTGTTCGGAATTACACAAACTGATGACACAGGGAGCGCTTCCAATGTGCGGACGCTGCGCGATATCTATCTTTTTACAGGATAAAGAGTTCTCTCATCCCCCAAATACTCTTACACTTTTTATAATTTATCTTCTATCGTGTATACGAGGTACTTTTAAATATTCTTCAAGATCTTTCTTGGAAACGTTACAATTTTGTCTTATTAAATAGTAGTGCTAGAAAATTGGATGCACAGCCGTATCGACCTGGTTTTGCGAAGGTCAGTCTTATACGGTAGACTAACCTTTGTGAGATAAGATCCGATCTTGTGTATGGATATTGAAGAAAGCCATCTTTTTTAGGCCAAATATATACTCGAAGTTTTCATTTAATAAGATTTTTTATTAAAAGATCTACAGGAATAACATGGCTGTATTCCTAAAATAGTAAAAACCAGTATACGAATACGGCATGATCTTTTGCATCCTAAGTGCTAAAATTGTAATGTCACTGTCTTTTTATGAAAACTTAACTATTCTTCTAACCAGTATCCGACAAATCGACCTTCAACATAGTCTTGTGAAAGTACATACTTAAGTAGCAAAACAAGCAAATACAAAGTGATTGATGACATAATAAAGATGGTAATGCCCTATCTCAATCACGCCCACTCTGAAACTATATCTCCCACAGAAATTATACATGGACAAAGTTAACGTACACTTCAGATAGTGTCTATTTATAGAAGATAGAAATGTATAAAATAAATCCCGTATTATTTGTATTGAAAGACCTTCGAAAGACTCGTGTCAAAGAGAAAATAATATTATTTCTATATTTAGTTTTGTCCTGTTACTGTAATAGTTATACCTGTTTTGTTTATGAAAAAAAACATGTGATGGATATTTCTTACGTACACTTGAAAGGTACTGATGAAAGATCACGACTGCGTTAAACCAAATTTTGTTTAAGTGATTGTCCACTCCAATTCATAAAAACTTTAGTGACGATTTCATTTTGCTAAAAATTCCAAATTCAAACGTTAACTCGTCGAGTACCGTCAATATAGACACAATTATAGAACAATAGGTTGCGGTCACCGGTGACCGCTTGGTGTTTGACAGTTATAACAGATGCTCTACAAATAATTTCAATCCAAGAGAAGTCCAGTTGAGCTGACTGCCACAAAACTCAAGAGGCAATAACTCTTTACTATTATTCGTTTGGAAGTCCAACTGCATTCTTATCTAGGCGATCCACGTAAAGCTAAGAAATCCTAAGCAGTGGGACCGTCTGCATTTTCTTGGAACGTTCATGTAGTCCAGTGTCGTTGGCAATAAATTCTACATTCGTATAAATCTTAGTGTAGGACTTTGTTCCAGCTTAATTTATTTAGTTTGTCTACAACTATGTTTCTTGATTTTATATTTCTTTCTTGTTCTACGAATAAATGGCTATCTCTTTTTGTTTTATGCGCATTTTATGACTGTTACCGGACCACAAAACGCGGTAATAAACTATCCCCGGACTGCTTACCGTGCAGTTTTTCCAAATAAAATCAAGGTCATGTGAAAATTCAATACAATGTAGATAAATTCGGTTTATGATTGTCGTTTATGTTATGTCAGACTGCGTTGTTGGTTTATTATTATTCCTGTGTTCAATTCTTGGGTAACATAAAATGATTTTTTTCTTTATTTTGGCATTCTGATAATACAGGTTTACCGATGAAAACTAAGTTTGCATTGCTACCCCTGTGACTATTCCTGTAGATAAAATGAGCGCAATGTTTTGTTATATTAGTACAGAATTACAACGATCCTGTTTTCACTGAATACCTAATCGAGCGGTAAATTATAAAACAAGTTGGTGGATTATTTTATTTTATGTTCTCAAAAAGCTACATCGTTTGTCGATATCTCATACCGCCTAATGGAAAGCAATGATCCGATCAACGTTAGCGTACGCTTGCCTAAACCTAATCACATGGGACTTAAGACCCTTTATTTAATGTTCGAATAAAAAAAATTATTCCATCGTGTGCTGCTATGGAATGAATGCACGGCCTCATTTAATACAATTTGTAAGAAGCAAACCGAGCGATAAACGCGATTTACGATAATCTTGCACATGTACCGTTACCTCAGAGCAAATATTTATCTTCCGCTCATTTATGAGCGTACTACGTAGTAATCCTTGTAGTAATGAACCACGCGCAGTAGGGATGACTTCATAGGTCTCTGAAGAACGCTGCCTACGCCCACTTGTCGACTTGTCATACCCGTGTTCGCATCGACAGACACAAATCACCATGCTACACAAGTACATAAACAGAAGCACTTCGGTTATTTCAGGCACAACCAATCGATTTGTTATATAAATACAAATTGTGTACACTTAAAAATGAATCACAAAACCATATCAACATTGTGTCATCAATATTTTATGTCCCTTCATATTATTTATTTAAAGAAAGAACAACTTAATAGCGCAGGGATTTGACTTTTATTTATTCACGCTGCATTTGCCATTTGTATCAACTTCACAAATTTTATACTGATGCCAGCTATTTGTTAGGATTATAACAAATGTTCTGAAAATCACTACTTATCCCCATCGTACCTTCGGCGTTAAAAGGACGGGAAGTGCGCGCAGAGGGGTTGGCCGTGACCTAGCCTGCCCTATATCGACGAGGTGCCCCAATTATTACGGCCTTCGCAGCTTCTCTCGAGTCCTGCGACATTGAAGCGGGAACATAGTTAGATCGCTTTAATAGAGTTTTGCGTGTAGGTGTTGACGTGATAGGTTTCCATGTAAATTATTATGGATGTTGCAAAATGTCCCAATGAAAGTGCTTGTAAGTTTCTAATTGAAATATATATATATATAACAAAGGTAATTCGAGGCCCTCGCTATCAGAATGGTCAGACATGATGAGAAACTTGAATAATAGTCTCAAAGGGTAGTATGACGTCTGGTTTAATCACTACACGGCACAGATTACAATATGATTACACGATCGAATCGATGTAGTATGATTTGAATTGGAAACGCGGTGAATTCGAAGCAACGTGGTGACTTCACTTGGGTTATTCTTAAAATCAACCGTCTGCGGTCACGTTCTGTTCCAAAAGTGACTGGACCATTCCAATCACATGACAGCTGTCAGATGACACTGACAGCCGCCCATCCGTCCCGTCACCACGATGCATCGACTACACCCAAGCATACCGCTTGACGCTTCCAACACCAAACAATTAGTTAGCATGTAAGGCGATAGATGGCACTTGAATTACTGACGCTGCGACGTAGTTTACAAGCGCCATCCACACGGCGCTTATATTATTGACGCTGCGACA